TCGTGCCCGCTGCGCCCATGGCCAATGGGCCAGGGAGGGTGGGCACGATGATTGGAGAAATAAGAGGAGCAGGGAGTGCGGTGACCACCATTGAAGAAGTTGTGGAACTTATCCCGTTCGACCAATACGTGGTGTTGGGTTACCCAGGATTGGGAATCATCGGAACCATCCGACCCGCCAATGAACAGTAAGAGATAGCCGAAAGGACATCTTCTCCGAGAGAAATGGAGTCGGGCGGTCCTACCTTCGTTAGTGGAGAGATCGAGGTATTGGTCATCGTTTGAGTTCTAGATCACCGAATTCCTTTGCCTATCTAACAACAGATGTCCATATCGGAGCAAGCTAATGAGCGCATGCTACAGCATTGCAAAGCAAATAGAAAACGATTTGCTCTCGCAAAATCGACGGCTCAAAAGGGAAAAGCCCCTGCCCTCGGAGATGGGCTGGACGTTCCTAGTACTACGGACCCAATACGGTTAGGAATACTCCAAAAAGTTAATCATTTTTTGCGAATTCAAGTCATTCCGTGAAAATCAGCAAAATGTGATATCGAGGTATGGGGAATCCCCTACAGCGTTGTTATCGATTCGAGAGCCAAGGTACTGACTATTTCATTGAGATTCGTAGAACGAGTCGGAAGAAGGAAGGATCTGATCACCTTGATGGAAGGAGATCATCTCGTCTCAGCGGACAGAGAGAAAATCAAAGCGGTAGGAAAAATGACGAACGTCGAGTTTCGATTAGGAAACGTTCACCGCACTAGGAGACGTTATAGTACTGGATGTGAACACCTATGATGTCGTTCTGGGATTACCAGCCCTCACAACACTGCGGGCCAACCTGGATTTTGAGAGGCGATCCGTCATCCTTAGAAACATGGGCGGCAAACCGTACGTTGCTCCGATGCGGCTGACTCTTCGGACCACGCCGCCCTGGACTCAGAAACCCATGCCGGTATTTAGAGGACCCCTCCGGGTGATCACCTGGAAGAGTCCTGGTGAAACTATCGAGTGACTCTGACAGCGGAGACGAAGCTAATCCTGTGATACACGATATGGCTCAACAACTGATTCGTTACACCATCCAACAGAAGATCACAAAAACATTTGTCCTTACGGAAAAAAATCTACAACGAACGCGTGCATTAATCTTAGTGGAACCACTCGTACAAATATTGGATGCTCGACTATTCGGAACCCCCTCGGACTGAATCAGTTGTACGCGTCTAGGGGGTTCCGAAGGCGAAGCTTTGGAACCCCCTAGACGCGACGACTCTACACCCTATGAGCTTGGAATCAAAATCGTTGAGAAACCAGTGTGCTGATAGGATACCGGCGATGGCGTGACCCCGGAAGAACACGTGGCTATCCGAGAGGAAGATGCTTAGATGGTCGCCACCGTCACGGTGTTTTCCTGGCGGTCTGACAACTCCTTCATCCCTGCTCCCCTTGCGGAGAGCAGGCCCAAAGCAGGCACGAAGCACGTGGCGGTTACCATACATAGACAACACTACGAGCTACATATGCCTCAGTTTGTACCTGATGAAACTCATCGATTGATTGCGGATATTTTAACCGAATACCAAGGAGCGATCAACGTAACACATACGGATATCGGACTGTCCATAGTCATTCAACATGAAATTCAGACCAGAACGCACCCGCCGATCCACTATAAACCATACCGATATTCTCTCGCGGAACGAAAAGTGTTATTACAAAGAATTTGAGAATTTGAAGCTAACGGATGGATCGAACCGGCAACCGGACCCTGGTCATTTCCCATAGTCTTAGTCCTGAAGAAAAATGGGTTGATTCGCATTTGCTTTGATTACAGGAAGCTGAATTATATCACGATTAAGGATGTGTACCCCCTTCCCCGGATTGATGATCTGTTGGATGTAATTGAGTGTGCTAAGTACTTCTGTAAGTTTGACATTCGCTATTGATTTCGTCATATTCTGGTCAAGGAGGAGGACTGACCGAAGGCGGCCTTTGTGTTATTCGAGGGCACCTGGCAGTGGGTCCGTTGCCCAATACGAATTTGCAATACGCCAGCTACTTTTCAAAGAGCGATGAACGTCACATTTTAAAATTTCGTCAACAAGACCAGGCTAACTCAGGGCATGGTTAATTTTTGCGTCATTGTGTACATGGACGACATCCTGATCTTCTTGGAATCAGTTCACGGGCATGCACAGCATGTCGAATGGACACTTGGGGCATTGCAGGATTCTGGCTTCAAGATTGCGTTGGAGAAAATTAAGTTTTTCCTTTCGAAAATCTCGTTCCTAGGGTACGTGGTGACTCAGGGAGGCTTACGACCGGATTTGAGAAAGGTCGCGACCGTTCGGGATGCCCCTACACCTACAACGTTGACACAAGTCCGGGCCTTTTTGGGACTGGCCTCGTACTATCGTCGATTTATCAAGGGTTTTGCAGCAATCGTCCGACCTCTAACGAATCTTCTACGAAAGAACCAACCGCTGAGTTGAGACGCCGAGTGTGAAGGGGCCTTTGTCACGTTAAAGGAGAAGCAATTCATACTCATTACTGAATGGCAGCCCGAAACAATCTCCGCTATTTTGGCTCAGAAGGGGAAAGACAGCCGCGAACACTTCATCGAGTACACTTTGCAAACGGTACCGGACGAGAGAAAAAACAAGTCGGCTCTTCAGGGAGAGTGCTACGCGGTTGTCTGGGGGATTCAACACTTCCATTCGTATTTGTACGGATATAAGTTCGTCCTCGTTACGAACCATGAGCCCCTACTGGCTCTCAAGAGGTTTACCAACTACACGGACATGATCAATGGGTTGTGCAACTGCAAGAATACGATTTCGATATCGTCCACTGGAAGACAGAGAAACACGGTAACGCCGACGGACTGACACGATTGTACCGGCCTAGCAGGGTGGCCAAGGGTGAAAAGATCACACCGTGGAAGAAACTGGAACCAACAAGCGAGCCTTCGTACAGCCAGGTGGCCATCCTCCCTCGGACCTCCAAGAAGTGACCGGCAGACACGATGGCGATGGAGCATGGAGGTAATCCCGAAGGTGGATATGGCGAGTGGGTAGACTGTCAGCGATGTGTCTCCCGAGCTCACGGTTCCTACATCCAATATAGAATTGCGGGTAAATCCTTGTTATGTCCCTTGTGCCGCACTGATAAAATTCCGACAGAAGCTCGATTTCTCGAAGCCACGTCGGAAGGGTTGGAAAAGACACGATGATTTAGAAGGGCCGAAGTATGGACAAATGTCGTTTGATAGCTACGGTGGTTGGGAACTCCCTCCAAGACTTTACTAAGGGGGACCGGAGGAGGGCCAATAAGAGGGCACGGGACCACCGATGGAATGAGGAAAAAAACGGAAGACGGATGGTAGTGGGATTTGGATGTTTGTGCCTCATCCGTTCATGAGATCTGACTAGGTTAAGTCGACCTATGAGGAAACGGTAGCCCACTTCGCCGTTCGAATCACGGAGGCGGCAATCAATACAAACGAGTGGTATTGGTCCAATATTCACGACGATGTTCAATTCATCGTCTGAAACTGTCCCATCTATGTCGCCGACTCAGCCGCGTAGATCGATAGTGCCCACTGTAGTTGAACGGCCGTTCGAAAGGGTCAGCATGGATACCACAGATATTGTCGCCGCCCCTGGACCAAATAGATGCGAATATTCACTTCCTTTGGTATTTGTGGACCAGTTTTCAAAATGGATAGAGGCGTATCCTTGTAAGACGCGACAAGCGACAAAAATCGTGCGGTATGTTAACCATTTTCTCGAGATGCATCAGGACACCGAGGAAATCCTAACTGACAACAGGGCAGAATTCCGAGGGGAAGTCTTGAGGAGTCTGGTTCTACACGGTGTCTCGATTCGCACTACCGCTCCCCATATGTCGCAATCGAACGGACTAGTAGAAAACGTCAACCGGGTAATCAAAACAGCGTTACGGCGTAATATCGCGGCCAAAGATGCCAGGCCTTGGCCCGATATCGTTGACCATGGCCTAACTTTTCATCAAGGGACACCCCAAGAGTCCACCGGCCTATCCCCCTTCCAATTACGGACCGATAGTGTGGCCTATGTAGCCCTACCGAGCCTAAATGGTGAAACGGCCCTTCTGCGACGGAACACTAGAGCAACGGTCAAAGACAAGGCCCAACACCACCTGGAATTAATGGAAAAGGCCCTCCCCTGGCTAAGCCCGAAAACAGCAAAGAATGACTGAAATGGCCCACGGACGACAAGTCCGGAGCTACGAGGCCCGAAATGGGAATGCTGGACCACGGCCCTAGTATAAGTTAGGGGACATAGTGCAAGTAAGGAAATGTGCTCGCGATGGTAAGCTAGCGCCACGATTCTTCAGGCGATTTCGCGTGGTCGAGATCGGTCCTAGCAGAGTAAATACTGTGCGGCTCGCACCGGAGGTGTCGAGAAGTCGATCGGCTCGTCCGATCATTCGACACGTGTCCTACCTTCACCCTCTCCCATCTTTTCCTTCTCTTCCATCCTCCATGTTGTCCCTCGACAGCGAGGAGGAAGACGATCACCTCAACTACCTTGATCCTTCTTCTTCTCAACCCTCATCTCCCTCACCACCGCCATGAGTTTTTCCACCGAACAGGTCATCAGCGAGCGCCTAATGGTACCCAGGGGAGCCATCTCTGCAATCCTGCAAGTACAGCGTCCTCGACTGAGTCCAGACCTTCTTTGCTTCGCGACCTTCTTTAGCACAGTGGCCATTCACGTGGAGGCGGAGTTCAGATTCACGCAGTCCGAGGCAGCACGGGTATTGGCCGAGGTGTCGGCCTTCTTACGCAGGTCCCCACCCGGCGAGAGCCACGTATCAGTCATTGTCATCTTTATAGGTGACATCACGACACTGCATCCAGCAAGGCACACCGCAATCCTCCGACAGCTGCGGGACCGGGCAACTTGCATCACGACTGCATGGGTGCGATTACTGGCTCGGCCGCGCGATCGCATCGCAACAGCCAACGACATCGATCTCCAACTTCAATTTTCCTCCACCTTGCCAGAGGTCCTCCTCCCGGAGATTCGTCCTTTCGCCCGGCCTCAATAAACTGCCACCGCCTCTCTAGAGTCTCCACGTCCGGCCTTCCCTCCGACACTCCCGCGTTTTGGCAGTCTGCAATGGACCCCGCTCCGAGTCTATCTTTCAGAATCAGGCAGTTGGACGTTCCGATTCTGGACGTGGCCAAGTGGGCAAAGTGGTGGTACACTTACGTGGCACTCAACTTCTGCCTCCTCCTTCTCGCAGTCGTTTTCCATTGGGTGGAACCTGCTGACAGGAGCGAGGAGGATGAGATCCCAGATGAAGAGTCAAAGTTATTGATTGTCCAGGCCTGGAGGGCGGACACGGAGGGTGAGCTTCTGGGGATCTTGTTTGGGGAAGTACGTGACGGCCACTTGGATTCGATCACAAACAAAGTGCTGGTGTTCTTGACCCAACTGCGGGACGACCTACCTTTGGAGATCCTCTCGCGCTGCGATGAAACGCCCGGGACTGCCACACTTGCCTGTACCTGGATCCCCCATCTCCTGTGGTCTACGTGCACGGAGCTGGACGGGGATCCTTGCTATTATCCCTCCGAAGGCGCTTACCTGGTCATCAACGTCACTAATCTCTCCTTCTGGGATCCTCTCATCCGACGAGTGAATGTAGGAGAAACCAGCGAGGAAGCCGGAGAGGAGGAAGGGGAAGTAGTTGAGGAAGAGATCGAGGAGGACGATCATCTTCAGTACACGGAAGGAGAGGAAACGCCAGAGGAGGAAGAATCGGAGGCTGAATCGGACGATTCCGATTATCACGAATCGGAGGACGCCGAGTTGGAAGAGGTCATCTCGGAGCGGGAGGAATCGGAAGAAGAAGGCGGATCGGGTGAGTCGAGTGGTCCTGACGAACTAAGCAAGGAAGAGAAAGAGGTCGTGGCACAGAGAAGACGGGCAGCGACAGAAGGCAAGCGGGCGATCGAGGAATGAGGAGGGCCACCGCCGCAATTGCTACAGGGGGATCCGACGCTCAATCCGGAATGGCCACAAGAAGAGGCTGAGAGAAATGGAAGCGCCACGGCAGAGGGATCAGGAAGCCGGCGCCGCCGGACAAATGAATCCATGGCCCAATCCTCTCCCCAGCCCAAGCGTCGCCTACGTCGACATGAGGGCGCCCGGACTTAGTCCCCGATCATTATACCGCCCTCCGTGTGACTTCCTCACTCTTCAGCAGCTCATAGGCCGACCCCCATTCCCTGACAGATGACACCCCTTCCTGCCTTCCCGCTTCCACCATCTCTACTCCACACGCCTCCTAATCACGATCTTCCCACACGCTACTACTCACTCGCTCGCCACCTCTTTCCCCATCCACGTCCTTCTCTTTAGAATAGATTCAATTTGGCAGGGATTCAATAATATAGAGTTGTATTGTATCATCGAGGGCACGATCTCAACGTGCGAAGAGTATGACGATTTCCTCACTGTTATCCACCGTACCCTCTGCATGCTCCATCCCGAAAACCCCGCTTCCCTTCCCCACCAACGTCGACACCCGCGTCTTCCCCGCATCCACCACACGATTCATTACACCTAACTCCCCACTAGAGATCGATAAATCCGTCGCTTCATGCCTCCCCTTCCCCAAGTCCACCACCTTCTCCGCCCGTAATCAGACTGGCTTTTCCGGGTAATGTTTAGAATGGAGCACACGAATGCCATGTTGGATGACTTCCACACTCAGATCTTACGGTAAGTGGCACGTAGAAGCTCCGCCTCGATCCTCGGATCGCCGGTCGATACCTGATGAGAGAGCAAGCAGGACCTTGCTCAAGATTGGAACCCCCTGGGCGTTACATATGTGACAGACTATTTTCTGTAATCGCACGACTTTCTGCGCGAAGTGGCTTCGGGGGTTGGGAACAGGTTGGTCGGGTGGAAAGCATAGATAGGGGTTGGTCGAACAAGTTGCATGGATACCCTTGGGTCTTTATTTTTTTTTGCTGTCAGGACCAGGGCCGGGAAAGTCCCGCGACAACAATTGGGTGACCGCACCTTAGTGAGCGCGATAAATAACGGTTGCCATAACTTCTTTCTTGTTCTGATGTGGGAGATGGGAATTTTGGCGCGATTCGCGCGCGGGAATATCGTTTTCAAATTTACAACGGATGACGGGCTCTTGAAATTGTTTTTTTTAAGTTTTTTTTAATTTCTTTTTGCAAATAGGATTTAGACTAGGAATTTAGGTGCTCTGAAATCTTGTTGCACCACGCTTCTTCTTCGTGCACCTCTCACCGCAGTGGGAACTGGCCTCAGATTGTATCACGCCCTTAATCCTGCATATAACTGTAATATTTGGCGGACGCGATTGTAACGATACTCCTTGATTCTCTCGTGTTTCCCCGCCTTATTCCCCTCTGTCGTTTATACCTCGTCCTTCACTCTAATTGGCTTAGCGACTGCATGACCAGATCGATGCGTGGTGTGGTTGTGTCCCCCACGACGCGGCTTGGCCATGCAGGCATAGGCACTTTCTTTTCGTTCCCTTCCCCTTACTTAGGCATAATCCCAGGTTCATTGCGCAAGCATGCACGCTATAAATTTCGCAAGCGCGATTAGTTTGCTCTCTCACAATTTGGAAGTTAGTGTCGTCAGTGAGGATCGGCTAACAAGTAAGTGAGAAGATGAGCAGAAGTAAGTCGGGCGACCCAACGAGCTGGTGCCGGGTAGGCGGGGTTGACGTGGGGGCCACGACGGACTGTGACGCACGGTGTTGGTGCGAGGAGACGGACTACCCTCATCGGAGGTGATGTAGCGTGGGGAAAAGGGAGAGAGAGAGAGAGAGAGAGAGAGAGAGAGAGAGAGAGAGAGAGAGAGAGAGAGAGAGAGAGAGAGAGAGAGAGAGAGAGAGAGA